CTATTACATCACCCATACTCAATTGTTTCCTTAATTCTAACACTAGTTATTATTATGAACCATTGTCATTCCAATTATTTACATTCATTTATATCAGTTGTTTCACACAATTTCTGATCTCAATGTAAAATTCTAATACAGATCAGTGGTTGTAAGCAGCTAATGAAAAACCTCGAAATACTATGAAATCATACTATTCTGTATCAATATTTGTTCTGGCTTTATTGGAAAACTAACACGCTAAAAAATACGCTAACCATTGATAATGTTAACTACAAACCACTTCAGTGTAATTTTCAAAAACAGACAATTTGTTCAAATAAATGTGCAACTTCACACAAGGATTCTATATCGTGTCGGTTACTATCTTAAGCTCATGTAGCATAATCACCAATAAAATGGTCAGTCGGGTGACAACAACATCCGATATGATAGGAGTTAAAATAATGGTCGACTAGAATACAACTACGGAAAAATGGTTACACACACATGGAAATGAAATGTTCCAACAGAAGGATGTATATCGAATGACCAACTATCTCACATTCACCTGATTCATTTAAGAAGAAGATTTGAAAAATTGGCAATTCTGTCCAATTTCCCGAATTGAATATAACATAACACCAAGTTCTATCATTTCTCTTACATCCTATTCAATTTTCAATGTAAACACTCAACAAAAACATATTTCTGTTGACCTCAATTTTTTATTGAAATATTGATGATTATACATTGTTGTCGTCTATCACCTCATTCTATCTTACTTATCATATATTATAGTATTGTCTATTGTCTATACTGTATAATGAACGTAATATGAAGCTTTGTTATAATAAATGATATCGTTTTCTATTATTGTGTTACTGTGATTGATCGACACCCACACACACACACACACACACACGCACACACACACACACACACAGAATCAATATGAATGAAATTCTTATTTTACAAAAGATTATCACTTTTCTATAAACGAAATGAAGTGAAAACAAATCTTTTGGCTGTCAGTTCATTGAAGGTTCTGCTTCACCTATGAATAATTAATGCTGTAATCATTCATTATTTATGTCTCATTCAAATGAGTTTTGTGATCGTCCTCTCATGGAATCATCTAGTTTTGACGCTATTTTCGTTTATCAATCCCGATTCATGAAGACACGACTAGATATTACATCCTGTGTACATAGGTCTAGGAGACTGTAGTGAATTGCCTTGATTGTATTCTGTATACCGTATAATTTTATTTAAACTGAGGGAGTAATTCAGGACATTATTTAATGTATAAAATGCAGTGTCTGCAAACTACCAATGACTGTAATTCACATCAGACCGTGTATTGACCAGACGATCTACGCAGATATTTTCATTTAGATCATGTCATATATATTTCAATGAATGTTGGTTTATATTTATCATGTAATATTAGATATTGTACAGTGGGAATCGTGTTCAGTATACCTATTGACAGATGTGTTTTTAAGTTCCTGTGAAGACATTCTATTGTTGACAAAATGTATGTTTGTGTTGAATGTTGATTCAGCTTGGTTTGTAGCATCGTTAAATGGAAGTGATCAGATTTTATGTGAGGTTAAATACATCACGATACATCAAATTTGTAATGAAATTTGTGATCACTATTCAACAGAGGTGATATGAATGTTTTTGAAAGGAAGCATTTCTCCTTGAATATATAAATAGCATGTGAGATCGATCCTGTCTGGACAATTTCAGATTCATATTTTCAGATGATTTTATTGAGGATATATTTTGATTGAGTTAGACAATGTTTGGTGTTTGTAGGCTGTTGGCAGAAATCCGTCTAGTCTGGTTTTATAGTAGTTGATACATGTCAGTCAAGTATGCCCTCAATCGTGAAGAAACTATTACTCATCATATGATCCAAACTCATATCACATAACTTTGCATTATGATAATTAACTATTCCTTTACTTAAATTTCAACTGAACTCTTGTAGGACAGAGATGCTAGTATTTATTGATCAAAGCACAATTATTTATGAGCTGTTTGTCTGGTAATTAAATACTTATGGAATTCTGCCAATTAGGTATTCTACCCATACTACTTATTAGTATTTTGTTATTAATACTTTTGTGATGAAAATGACCTTTTGTGATCATTTTAGAAGGATATTTCCGTCTGTAAATATCTACAAGTTTCATACAAGTTTACCATTCATACATTTTACTGAAATAAAGACAATTGATGTATCGGAATAACATAAATTTTTTTATTTTTACCGGTTTCTCGTCAGCTGCTTTCAACATTATATCATGACATTGAATAAGTCCTCGTTTATTCGACAGTGGACATTGTGTTCATGTCTTTTATTTCTTCCTAATAATCAGTGAACAAAGAACATCAAATTTACTACAGTTTGCCGAAGCAACTAGCACAAAATCACTTCAATCAATTTTATGTATTCAGAAATATTCAGTTGTCAAAATTGCCTTGCTATTGTTTGTCGTGCAGTTCTTCTTTTCATGACACCCATTATAACACTATGATAAGTAAACTCATCGTTATTCATTATTCTGTGTAGATACATTTTACTACTGACTAGATATGTATATTTGTTGAATATTGATTGAGGTTGTTTATAACGGTTAAGTGAGGTAATTAAACGTTTTCGATATGTCTATCATTTGGTATTGAAATTAGTTTTCGTAAATTGATAGAAGTGAACATTGTCTTCTAATTCAACATGTGTGTGAACATTCAACCTATCGAATATACTTGGAATTTCTCACACTATTATCAATAGTAATCTTAATGATGAATCGAGATTCTTAATACTAATCCAGGTTTGATCTTCTTGGTCTTTGGAAACTCAAATATTCATTGAAAAGATTCAGGCATATAATTATATACATAGGAAAGTGAACTATTCATTGTGTGCTTTAATCTCTTACATTTAAACCAGTAAATGGGATATGTGTATTGACTGTAACACATAATCACGTAAACATGTTTATGAAGACAAGATAATAGTAATTGAAAGATTTAAACAAATCATAGGCTCATTGAACTATTTTCTCTCTGAACACGTTTATTCTTCATTGATATTAATCTATTTCACTGACGAGCATCATAATGATTTGTTATATTTGAAGTCAGTTGATTAGAATATTCTGCACAAACATATTCCTTTATCTACACTAAATGAACAATAACACTAAATCAATTTTACACACAACATCATATTGACTTAATAGTTGTGCATAGTAGATCTGTAAATCAATGCAAAGAATATTAATTTCGATTCAGTTCATTTCACTGCAACAATGTTCGGAAGATTTATTCACAAATATTGAACAATCAAGTAATAGATGGCACTAACATTCTTTATCAGATGTGATACTATAATCTTGCTTCAAGATGTATAGACGCATAATTGACATTGAATTTTCAATAAACAGTAATGTTTGGACAGTGAGGGTACAGCTGTTCAAGGTAAAGTTCTGTAATAAGATTTGTGTACATATATGCATGGAGAGGAGGACTGATCATTGGTTATTATATAATCACGTGTTTCTGGATGTTTAAACTGTTGTGACAATCAATGTTGTAGAAGGTTCTTCCACATAAGTTATATGTTTACGATCTGAATTGAATTTGTTCCCACCCTTGTTATACTATACTAATGTATCATCAATATAACATTCAACCATGCCCTTTTGTTTAAGTAATTTAAATGCAATATGTAATTAGGATTTTAAATATCACGGGTTGTAAGTGGCTAAGGAGAACCAACAAAATAAATTGAATTTATGCATGTTAATTTATGCTACAGACCGTGATAATTGAGGTAACCATATTTTGGTGATCTTCGATATTTTTATGAAGTGCACAATTTAACATAATATAAATATTCATGGATTCCTCCTCGGAAGATATTTATTTACGAAAGTGTAGACTGTTGTTTGCTCACCAATAATTGATTCAGTACGTTTAGCATGAACATGGACATTCTCATAAGAGAATGAACTACTCCTATGTTTAAATATAGATGACAAATAAAACTAGATCAAACGATATGTGAAAATAATTTATTAAAATATCAAAATGGAGGCCAGTCTTCTTCTTCTTTATTAGCTTTCAGGGTTCAATGATCACTGTGGTAACTACAAATCTGTGTAAAGATCGAGAAATTCTTTCAATGTTTCACATTTATTTTTCAATGAAATGATTTTGTCTTTCTTTTATTACAATCACTGACCACTTAGTTCTATCTAATTGGATACATACAGTTTCAATTCTATATGATCAACAAGACAATTCATATCTATTTTGATCTTTACATTTATTAACAGCCAGTGGTACAATATGATGGTCAAACAGAATTCATGTAGCTTTGTCCATTAGTTACAATTCCACATTCAACAATGTTGAAATCATCTAACACAAGTTATTTTATTAAAATAAAATTCAAACGTAAACATGTAAATTTAAACATCCAATCAAAACAATTTGTGCTATTTTGATTTGAACCAATCAAATCATAACAATGCACTATTGGTAATCAATTTATAAATTATTATAAGCAACAAAAAGTTTATTCGTGAGAATATGAGCAAACATTTTGGACTACAAATAAACCAATCACTTAGATTGAAGCATAGCTAATCATATTCAAAATAGTTTTCATCAATAAGAGCTAGAAGTATATTGCATTACAATAAGTTCATCTTCCACGATGATTGGTTAAAAATGATCATATGATTTTATGAAATTTGATCGTCTCAATGGTCACTTTGAATCATCCAATCAGAAACAAACAAACAAACACTTAAAATATCTATATAAACCTGACAAGTTCTAGCAACCACTATTGACGTTTTGAACAAAAAGATGAGGTACATTCTTACTGTACAATTAAGTTTAAGTAATGTAACATGTAAATTTCAAATTGTTTCACTGAAATAAAGTCAGTTTCTTCATCTAAACCATTTTAGATACACTTTTTCATTGGGTCAGTTAATATTGTTCTATTTGGTCGTCATGTTAAATTACAAATTCTTCAATTGTCAACACGATTGTGATCAAGTTGATATGATGAAAGAAAGAAAACTTGTATTTAAAAGTGATACATATGAATATGTAAGTAACCAGTCAAATTCTAATACACATATTCAGTCAAATCATTATTACTATTTTCAGACCATTCGCCTAAATCAAACTAGTCCAGTTCTTAATGAGAAATTTGAGAGACTGGTTTCTGGTAAGGTAAGTTGAGTACATTTTTTCAATGAAGGCACTTATTCATATGTTTGCATATTATTAGTCAGTTATCTCACAATCCCGATTTACATTCTACGGTGCTGACGTTAATAAACTCTATATAAACATGTTTGGTAAGTGAATTATTTTCTTAGAATTAAAATTTTCACTGAGTTGTATTTATTCACACACTTCATTTAAAGAATCAAAGTTGGATTAATTTCTTTAGTAAATCAATTTTATCTTTTTTCTAACATTGTAAACTACTACTGATATCTTCTTCTGTTCAAGTTGTAAGTAGTTTGACGCCTTACAGCAAACTAATTACAATTCATGTAATTCATTTTAGTCTCCAGTTAATTTCAAAGTCTATCATTCATTCATTGAAGATTATTAATCAAATTGTATATTTTCATATGATTAATACAGGTTTAATAAGAATGTACGGATCATGGAACTTAGGAACAATTAGCAATCATATGGATGGTGAAATTCAAATTGGATGTGAGATTTTAGATAAGCGTAAGTTGTATTATTCAATAACATTTTGTTTTGTTATCCATTTCTTATTTTATTTTAGCATAAATAATTCATTACTTCATTTGATTAATTCATGAGGGCTGACCAGTACACAGTGATTACCTTGTTTGTGATATTTCATATCCTAAAATGTGTTCACAAAATATTTTCATTACTGTGAAGTGAAAATGGTCAATAAAACAGCAATTTACTTCAAAGCAAACTCAAATTGATTGAGTAGAAATTATAGCAACTCACGTGCAATTGTGTTTGCTCTTATCTAATTCGGTTAAACCCTTTTGTTAACGTATTAAACGGTCAAAGTCATCTGTACTATAACAATTTATTGTACCACTATTATTGCTATGCTTGTATGAATAAGTATGCTTGAACACATTCTCGGTCTGCTGACTCATTCGCCTCTCTGCTCTGTGGTTTGAGTTACCTGCTAATAAAACTGTAGTAGCTGCTTCTCTTTGCCTTCTGATTTCAAACACCATTGAGGGATTATACGATAACGGTTACGAGGGTTATTGGTCAACGAAGCACAACCACTACAAAATAATAGATCAAAGAATGAAATTGCTAAAATGAAAATTTTCTACTCTCCAATCTGTTCAAACCACCATAAAACAGATATCTCATAGATACGACACTACTTAGTAAATTCAATGAATCGAACTTAATACAGGTACAACAATAAATGATGTAGTTCGGGGAATCTATATGAAATTTTGAAGCACATGAATTATCAAATTATCTTTGATGTCCTCCATATCTTTCTGTCAGTTACTTGGTTTTTAAAAGTTTAATGTCTCTTAGTTACTTTATGTGAACTGTGTATATCAAACACTTTCTTGATTATCAAATTCGTATGATGAGGAAATGCGAACTCATTCTCTTCGTTAAATATCCAATCAACGAACGATCATGAGCCGTCTGCTAGTACAACATAAATGATTAGAACCAGAACACCTAGAACATCAAAATGAAGTTCATTCATTTTGATTGAGATCATGAACCGATTGATGTTAGAGCACCACTGAAAACCTAGAAGCACTGGATGGCCGTTTCGTCCTATTGTGGGACACCTCAGCAGCGCGCATCCACGATCTCACTCGCAGGATTCGAACCCAGGGCTTTCAGTTTCGCGCGCGAACGCCTAACCTTCTGGACCACTGACTCGGCATTCAACGGTGTTAATGTCTAACCTCAACCAATCCATTCATTTTGTTTAGTTATCGCATTTACTGAAATTAGATCAGCATGTCTGAGTAGTAATTAATTCAATTAAGAGAACACTGTCCCATTGGAATAACCGAATCTCAGAAAATGATTTTGTATGTGTATTGTCGGATAGATATTCACGGTCTATTTATTAGCTAAAAGTCTTTAAAACCAACATTTTGAAATGAAAGTATTCTTCCCGGTTGATTAGATTGAATCATTTCTCATATCATTGAAATGAAATTGATAATCCTTGAAACTTCCATTTAATTGAACCATTCTACATATATCTTGAGAGGATGATGATAACTTCTATGCAAAATTATTCTGTGTTAAAATGAATGTTTATTGAAAGAGGAGAATATTATTTATGTATATATATATATATATATATATATATATATATATATATATATATATATATATATATATATATAAATTTCTTTTTACTTTCATTATCTCAGAGGAATTATTCGCTGTTAGATGGTCTTTTCATTTATTTGTTAATGATACACGTAAGCGGGTAGTAAAATGATTATTTGATTACACATGAAATACTAACATCTACATCATCATTTATTGTAATTACCCATACTTTATCTATTCAGTTTGCGTAAATGAATCCTTTTTCAAAAAAAACTGACAAAAGTAATAAAGTGTAATCATTCTGGAATACTATGGTAGAAGTATATATAGAATCCATTGATTATTCCAATATATTGATTAGGAATTAAAAGGCAATTGATATTAGTAGGGATATACTAGATTTACCTTGCAAAAAATAGATCAATATGGATAAATTAGGTCATAATCTCATTTCATTTGTGAACAACAAATACAGAGATTCATCTTCATTGACAGGCTTCAATGGAACTTGATAAGAAGTCTTTATTTCAAAATAAGTAAATTTGTATTGCTCACCCCATGATCAGTCATAGATATTATTCATTCAAATTAAGAAATCATTAAGACGATTAATAGAAGGCCCAGGACAGAGTGGGTTGGAGAATGCTGGTCGGCGGCCTATGCTCCATTGGGAGTAACAGGCGTAAGTAAGTAAGTAAGTAAGTAAGACGATTAATCTGAAGCTATTTATTTTTTATCTTTAACAAGCACTGTTATAATAATGTGTTACATAAGCAAATGAATTCCAAAACTACATTTGTGAATAAACACTCCACAGCTCATATCATTTTCTCCTAGAGTTGACTGTATCAGGTGAAATATAGAAAATATTGAGCCAATGTGAATAGTTCTCCAATTATGAAATCTAATTAGAAGCTTGATGATTTATCGTTTCAATGTAATAATGAGGGTGTAATGCAGTCTCGGAAACTAAACCTCTGCCATTTATTTTAAAGGATATATGCTTGTTTCATTTACACATCGTCCATTAGATTAAATTTATTACAGAGTCAAGTAAAAAATATATTTGAGATAACACGGTAAATATCTGCTGAAATTTGATTACTTCGTGAGTGAATATATACCGTGTCGCATCTAACAATAACATGGTAATCCTTGATCCCTCATATTTTAAATATCGATATTCTTCCGTTTGTAGGTCTTGTGTACAATGTGACCACTCTAACATATCCGAATGGGAAGATATCATTCTATTATGAGAACGTAAGTTGCACAATTGAATGTGAATGTAGTTTTGTTTCAAGTACTTCAGAGTATTTTACTTTTTATGTTGATGAATACTCTCAAATGCATCAAATACATTGAAAACAATAAAAGGACGTCAGCACTTTGTAATGTGAACACTGACTAAATGACACTATTCGTGACACTTTAATCTAGCACTTTTTTAAAACAGTAAATAAAAAAGTGATATGATATTACAAGAGGTTCTTATGTATACGCGCCGATTAAGGACAGAAAGTGTATGCTTGATTGTTGTGCAGAAAGAGTTATATTCTGTTAAGTTTAACTACGTCTTCTAAAGGTCAGTTATTTGAAACGTTCGCTGTTGAATATTTTGAATGGTTCATTGTTAAAATCTTGATCTTTTCTCACTGTCTAGTTCTTCGAATATCGGTATTTAGTACTTCACCCATTTGAAATACAATAGATGTATGATAACTATAAAGGGAAGCTGAGATGAAAGATTTCATGTGTGTTGAACTAAAACCGCTTTGATTGTTTGGAGATAATGAGGGCAGTAATGGATGGAAGTGAACACAGTAACACAATCCCACAACATGACAGCAAATTCACGTGCAACAACATTGCAATTATTCACAATCACATTTTTATCAACGTACGTGGGTATTCATTTCACAATGTATCGCTTCATTTCATGATAGACAGATCGCTCATCTAGATCGTTCATCATCCTACACTGAAGTTGACAACTGAAGTGAGACAAAATATCTTTGTAAACTAGATAAAACATTCTTCTGATGAAACTGAGGAGGTCAAAATGCTTACTGTAAGTGTGAGAAAACAGTCCAATCAATCATATATATTGGTATTTTTATCGTGCCTTAGTACGGTTTCAAATCCGACGAGGTCACGTGCATATCCCTCAAACGACACAAACCGCCCTATTCCATGACTGATAAATCGTTCATCTAACTTCACTGAAGTTGACAACCGAAGTCAGTCAAAATATCTCGGTAGACTAGACGGAGCATAGTTGTGAGAGAACTGAGAAGATCGAAATGCTTCCGGTAAGTGTGCTTTGTGGTCTTTGTTTAAGTTAATATGGATGACGACACAATACTTCAATCGTCAGTCGGTTTTGATGCAGGTGGTTGTTGTGTGTTGACAGATCTTGTCTTTACCCATTACTTCTTTTCAGATTCCTGAGGAAATTGGCGAAATTCCCCTGAAATCGAGCTTTTCCGGATCAATTCAGTGTGAAAAAGGAGGTAAAATATGTTATTTATATTCTGATTTACACTGACCTACATGAACAATCATCTTCTAGGCTAATGTTCTTTTCTATATGTACCCAGTTATCTCTATCTCATTACAGAAATGTAGTCTATCATAGTGATCTAATATATCTCACTGACAGTCTACATTAATAAAATGTTTCATGAGTAAAATTAATTAATCGAAGTGTTATTGAGGTGTCGAGAGAAATTGTGCGAAATAATATCAGGATAGTATAAGTGAACTCACTGTTCAAGCGTTACTGTTTATTGAAAATTTGATATCAGTTATGTGTCTACACATTTTGAAGCAAGATTATCGTATCACATCTGATAAAGAATGACAGTGCCATCTATTACTTGATTGTTCAATATTTGTGAATAAACCTTTCGAACGTTGATGCAGTGAAATGGACTAAATCGAAATCAGAGTGTATGTATTAACCATTCAATATTCGTTGCATTGAGTTACAGATCTGCTATGCATAGCTATTGAGTTAATATGATGTCGTGTGCGAAGCAAATTGTAGCATTACATATGATGAGGATTCATAGTGGAGACTAATCTTGAAAATATCAAGTGTTTGTGATTATGTGCTTCCAGCGGTAGTTCGCTAAAATTATCCAAGTTAAAATCAGGTATCTTTGTCTTCTGTTCAGCAACCATCATCCTTGATACTGTCACAAAGTTGATTTGGCTTATTGTGATGAATTCGTAATAGTAATATTCCGTTTTCTGTGCTAAAATTTTTCGACAATGAATTTTACGAACCATGTTTGCTGATGCTTGCCTAACCTGGTGTATCAATACCTGGTATAGCAATATTACCAAGATATGCGAACATCTTCATCGTACAAGTGCGCATGAATATTTTGAGGAGTCTTTCGCATATGTTTAAGGATCGCTTCTTAAACAAAATTTCAAGTATTTTCTTTTGTATAATTTATCACACAAGGTCAGAGATTCGTTCAAATAAATGTTCCGGAGGAATGGATCAAAAGCGGAACGTTGGTTGAGCATGAAGTTTCTGGGGGTATGTTAAATTTTATCGTATCAGAATTAACTATTTTCACACTTAAATGCATCATTTTTGTTTCATAAAATTGGAAATTTCATGTTCAATTTCAGTCAGTTATGATATGATATCCACATATCAGTCTCAACTGATGTTACACTACACGTCGATTCTTCGTTGAATATTCAAAAGGATGGACACATTTTCAACTACTATAGATTTCCTCACTTTGATAAAATTTACTTCGACTCAATATCGCAAAACGATGGATGAGACTATATAGGTCAGTCAGTTAATTATGGATTGACTTAGAATTGTCATTCGTTTTTTCGCTCGATACATTTTTATATTGAATTTCCATGAGGTATTGAAATTTCGGAAATATTCCATGTATTTGTAAATACTTTGGAACTAATAGCTTAGCTTCCAGAATCTTTACTTTATCTTACTTATTGATGAACTGAAGGTATAGACAAGTCACGTGTTCAGATTTCGATTTATTATAGGCAGTAGATATTTGCACGGTATCAAATATACTGATGATTTTCATGGCATGAAATTGTTTCTTTTCTCATGAACGTCTACAGTGAGTAACCATAAACACTTCCAGTTCATCATGCGTTAGACAATTATAAAACATCTCGACAAATGAGTCATTCCCCAATCTAATACTCAGATAGACTTTAATATTCGTTGAATAAAATATCATCTATTGTTCGTGTGTTTTCATGATACAACTAGTCGGACGTGCTCACTGACAGTACACAGACTAGAATGTTGCCACATGGTTTTAGACTTTCCATCACGGTAAGTCGACTGAGTTACCATAATTGAAATGAGGTTTCTATCAGACGACAACTGATTTGCTTGCACCGATTTCCAATGTGTCCACATAGTTTGAAACCTTCCATCACAGTGGATTGACTGAAATCTCTAAGAAAAACGCGAACGATGATTTGATAAATAATGTCGCTCATTCTTTGTTGAAATTGAGTATTTTGTTTAGGAACGGCTGAAATTTTTGCACCGATCTGCAGTGTCAGTTACTTTGTTAAGACCACATAACTTATTTTGCTTCCAGACAAATGAATTTATCTATTCATCTTGAGTTGGACTTTGTTAATTATTCACCAATCAACCTAGGTTGTTTTTATATGAGCGTAGGTACATCTTATCATACTCATTACATATCTGTAGCTTACTTTTGTGTGACTATATATATTGATCGCCGCTTGATTAAATCGAGTTGACTCACACACCTCCACTGCACTCCACTTCGCATCGCTTTTTTCTCTTCGCTTCGTCTCTCTGATGGTATTTTCAAATCAACAAGACTAAAAAATTTACTCATTCGAAGTTCTGTTCTGCTCTTTCGTTATTTACCAACGCGAGTTAAGTCGATAATTTTTCTGAATGTTGACAGTCATTAAAATCCACCAAAGTTGCCCATCAAAACTCATCTTCCAACATTCAATGTAGTTTTATTTAATTCCAACATGTGAAATGTAAATGACGTTGAAAGTGCACTGAATTCTGCACTGCGCAAAGTGATGATGCATTCACACTGAGTAAACTAGTCACTTTAATCCATAATATCATCGAGGTATAGTCATATGTTTTGTAATTCACTTATCTTTTACTTGATAATTTGACATGCAATCGCCTTATTCTTTCCACCGAAGATTGTCCAAAACACAATTCTATTGAAGCATGTGAAGACGCAACAACATCAAATACAAAGTGCATGTGGTGTGAAAAAGCGAATATGTGTATTAATAGTAATGATAAGGATATGCATGAGTTCAAAGTAAATGGTTGCCAGAATAAAGTGAGTAATTGGTAAACTCCACAGGTTGCTTTCAATACTACCATATTCTACATCATAAATCTATTTACTAGGAAGAACATTTTATTGCTACGGATAAGTAATGATTTGTATTGTTCCCTCAGTTCACAAATCAAACCATTGTATACATTGACGATATTTAATCAGATATGAGTCCAATGTTTTGTTTTCATATGGACATTCAACAATCAATAATAACGTTGTTTAACACTTATGCCTGGAAACATGTTATTTTTCAGCTCATAGAATGTGTAGTGACTCTCGATGTCCAATATGAAGCCGTCTATCTGTGTGACATGTTATGAAATATTAATGAAATCAGTTTGGATGATGAAGCGTAATATGTTGAAAATTCTGCATAATTTTTGGATACATAGTAAAAGTTCTGTCATCAATCCTAACAATAGTGTATAATGAACGTTGAACTATTTGATTATTATTTCGTGTTTAGTAATATTGACACCATTTTTTCTACAGAACAGTTTGAATGTCAACCTTTGGAATAAACCAACACTTGTTGAACGCGGCAGAACAACTACAGGAAATGAATTGAAGAAAGCTACTCAATACACTGGATCCCGTTCGGTAAATATTTGATATCTAGTAATTATTATACTGTTTCGTATTTTTCCAGAATATGACTTCAGAAGTAGCAGAAGAGAAAAACCACAAGACGTTACACTATTCCCCATACATTATCATACCTTTAGTTGTCTTGTTCTTCGTTGTGTTCATTACCTGTGTCATGTGGATATGGTTTCACAGAAAAAGATGTAATCCATGATCCAACTAAACATGTTTGGTCTTAATTTTATCATGCTGACTTTGTTATTTTCACTTCGTATTTTATTAAGGACACTTTTTATTTTGTTAATCATTTCAACAAATCGGAATTTTTTCATGAAACTACATCTCACGTAATAACTGTTGATAAAATATGGTTTTTTTGTATCTCCGTAATTGTTTTCATTGAATAAAAACTGGATGGTTTTACAAGAGCTTACAATATAGCTTTTGTTAGTTAACAGTATAGGGTGTACTTGATTTTGTGACAACTGAAATCAACAATGAGTTTGTTGTGAATGTCCACTTTGATCAAGTCTCACTACTGGAAAGCATCATTTCAAATTGATGATGTTCATTGTTTTAGACTGAACTATCGAAATACCGTATCAATATTTAACAAGAAACCCCAATCCTTCGTTGTTTGATTATTCACTGTTCAATGAAATATGGATGACAGACTATTGCTAATTAGCTGTTGTGAATGCTGATTATGAAACAATTTCGGAGATTTCAGCAGATACTGAACTAGGAATGAGACTAGTGACGTAACATTGTTAAATAAGACGACCGATCTGAAAAACAAATACACTGCATTATTTACGTCAATGATTCATCATTTTATTGTACTATACATGGTTTATAATCTGTTCTATTCTCATGGAACTATGCGAAAGGATTCCGTAAAGATTCATTTGCATTGGTTGATTGAATCTTATCATTAACGTTTTGGACTGTAACTGAACAGCCTTTTTATGTAATATATACATCGTGTGTGAGTTGCCTTGATATTTCCATTAAGTCACAAGAAATATAAGCGGAGATAGCTGGTGGTTAGCAGTGGAATCCAGGATGCACGTCACTTCGTCCTATTTGAGACTCGACAGATCGGTTTACCTGGATTACAGAGTTGGTGTTCACAACTGTGCTTAAAGTTAGTATCGTTCACTGCAAACATCATTGCGTCATCCTCTAAGCCGCTGAGTATAGATGCTCACTGACATTTACAAACAGCTTCAATGCAACATATACATGTAAGCAAACATTTGGCAGAGGTTTATCATTCGGTAAACTTCGTTCTGCGAAATCATGTTTTCTTCGTGCTACTGAATGATGTATTTGTAAAACACTTGAGCACATTATGATGATATGTTGTAATATCGTTCATTTCGCTGATAGTGATACTGTACCCTGTTATTAGATTTTAATTAGAGTGGAGCTTTTGATGATCAAATTTCGTTTTTATCCATTATGTCGACTTCAGATGTCGAAGAGATTATAAAGCTCCTCTGGTTCATTCCATGATTTCATTGTTGACACGCGCAGTACACAGTCCATTATTTCACCAAAAGCTCACTCTTTAGAATGATCCTAAACGTGGTTGTTTCTACTAGCTTTCGAAGAGGCTTCCGATGCTCTAATCGTAGACTTGATGGCTGTGTGTTAAGTTCTATGAATGGATAAGAATCCAGCTTTTAATATTGAGTTCTCGCTTGCTGAGGCAAACATACATCACAGTTAAAGCTGGAGATATACCTAGTCACGTTCTTTAATTCAAAGTGTTTTACAAGGCTGACGCCTGTCTTCAGATTCCTATGAATAGACGTTGACTGGCTTTGACTACGATTACCGCTCTATGTGATCTATCCAAATACAGATAACTTCCATTTAGTTTAGGTTCTTCTTCCGCCATAAAGCAGAATCAATACTGTAAGGCCTGTAGGCGATGTAACTCGACTGCTGGTTGCGTCATGGACAAGTGAAACCGAGGTGCCTTGTATCATAATAAAACAGCTGTCCAATGCTCCCTGGTGTTTCAGTGGCTATCTGGGTATGATCAGTAGTCTGTAATATGAGCCATGGAATAATTGTAGTAAATTTTGTTTGCTTGTTGGTATACTTAGCAGTTGTCTAGTCTTCATTACCATCATTGCGGCAACAATAACAATTGAAGAACAAATCCACCTCACATTTAATCTTCATCAAGCCAACGTTATGTTGAGAATTGGAAAAATACGTATATTATTGATGTCAAATGTTGACTCGTATTCACACAAATATATTTCCACATGTGAAAGAATAATTAACGTCTTTACGGTAGGAAAAACTCAGTTGGAAGTATAAAAGCACAAAATAAACAGGTTTATATGATGAATACGTGCAGAAATACAACAATCAACTGGACACTTTCAATATTCGCATTCTAATAGTATAATGACATATAGAAGCAGTCGATTTGATATAAGCAGATAGACACAGGGTACTCCGACTAATTGAAAACGAACACTAAGTCCACTTCTATTCAGAAAACAACGAAGGATGATAACCAATAAATGTGCATGTACAATTTCGTCAGACGAAGAATAACCACTACGTGAATCTTTGTGTAGGAATAAAGATTAGCGTATCATGACAACTGGGATGGAATTGTTGATGCGACGAGGTAATTGACGCTGAGCAACACAATAGCATCGTCACAGAAGAGAAGGCAACAGCAATAAAGCAGTATGTGCATCACGGTCTGCAGAGAAACAGACACACGCATGCGTATAGTATGAAACAATGGCAAACATATACATACATATTTAGACAAGCAGAAAGAAATCTATGAAGATTAAAACAATGAAAAATCCAGCTAAGAACTATCATCGCCATCGTTCATTAACATATGATTGCTGAGAATAGTCTTATTGACGAGGCGAGGGAGCACATTTACTTCCCTATTGCTTCAAATGTGTCAACTGCTATGGTTAGTGTGGTTGCTGACTTAACACAGTATGGTGATGACGGGAAGTCAGGTAGAGTAAATGTGAGATGTAAAATTAGGAAGAGAAGTTGACGATTTATAGCTAACAAAGTGTTTGGAATGTGCGTCAGTGAATTGTACCGAAAGTATTACACATCACATTATATAGACAGGAGTCCCCAGACAAAGTAAGATACCTCACAACTACCAGAGTTTATGCACACAGGCAAAAATATAAGTGCTCTACAATACCTTATCTTGCAAATATACTATGTACCAAGCAGGTTGTTAGAGATGACCCACTGGACAACTTGTATCCTTAAACGTGTTTCTAATTAGAGGTTGCACAGATTCTAATCTTACTGAAAAACATTTTGTTTAATTCCAAACATTTTATCAGGTCTATTTATGTATGTAGGTATACAGTTATAGTACTTTGTTTTATTTTAAAAAGTAAAGTTGTTTTATGATTCATGCTGATGATTCTTCACCGTACCAAACATAAAACATGGAATAAGGTCATAAATAGTAGTAATACTAGTAATAATAACCGTCTGAATCACAACCCAAATGAGTGGCAGTTGTTTATAGTGACGGTGAAACGAAACTAAATCCTAGCCATATGGTCCTTAAAGTTGAATGTACACTGAATCACAAAATTTACAATGGATGTTCTTTAGTACGTGAAAAGTCGTTTATGTAAATCAAGGTCGATGCAAGGACACAATGCAAATTGCATTGTTTGGTCATGTATGTGTTGCTGCCATATGCCACTTTTTTGTCCCTACATTCAATATATTCTGTTGATAAGATTGCACTTGCACTTTAAAGATTCTTGCCAAACTACTCCTAATAATCACGAAAGTGAAAGTCAAAACGAACAACATAACTTCGACGTAAGATCAAATCATTTAGGCAGCCATTTTATACCCAGTCAACTGTATTAGATTGAGTCTATTTATCTACCGATGCTAGTACTGAAGAGGATTAACTGTCTTGCTCTAATTCTTCTATATGTATTCACTACTTTGACTGGTCTTGTGGATTTAGTTTTATTTGGCACATAGCTAGAAAACGCACCATCGAATTTCCAAACAACAATTTCTAGGTCGAGCAAAGGACAAAACAAATTAATAATGAGTCCCATCTTGACACATCTATTTAATACTGGTTACTACATGAGAGACAACTTCAATGTTTGTAATTATTTACGAAATCCAACCGAATCTAACTTACGATTTCAGAATTTGACTCTTCCATACAGTAGAATCCATACGATTCCGCATCAACAAACTGTTGGGGTATTCAGAAAATACCCCAGAAATTATCTAATGCTATTCCTGAATGAGAAGTAGTGTCATTTCCCCATTGGTCAACATTCTTCCAACGTGTCATCTCCTTATTGGTCAATATTTATTTGTGTCATTTCCTGAAGGTTAAATCTTGTACAAATGTTATTTTCTATTTTATGGTACGATGTAGTCTGTTTGATTGCTATATAAACAGAGTATGTTTGAAATATAATGATTCATATCTCCGAGGCTGAGACTTGTGTTCTGGACTCAATTGGCTGGGCTAGACAGGGAAGCAGGGCCAATCAGGACTCTAGGCTGCTCGGTCGTATTTTATGCGTCACTGTTTCGATCGATAATAGGCTGCTCTCTAATAGGCGGATCAAACGTTATAACACAAACATAATTTTTGTACTCAGAACGTGTTCATATAGTCTTTGAATTTACTCTGACCTTGCATTTAGATACTATTATATATTTCTAATCCTTTCTGTTTTTTCCTTCAAAAATTAACCCATCTTCAATTTTTTTGACACTTTAATTTTTGATTTACATCCTACGTAACCACTTTAGTAGTCTGATTATGTTATTTTCACTGTATCCGTACTATTAATTACTCATCATTCATTTCCCAGACAACAAAAGCTATTTATACTTACATCCAATTTTAATTACTCTTCACATCCACATTATCTACTTCCGATAATTAACTGGTTGTAGAAATTCACCTTAGTTTTAATGTCACAAATATATTCACCGAAGATTTGTTGTAATGAATAATGAAATTCACTCTCTTTTCGAATCACATCAAATACTAGAATGTAGTCTTTCCGATTCTAATTACACTTTCCCGCTAGTATACATTTAGTACAATGAGTTGCAAGCTAATTGTTCCAAACGATAACGTATGAATACATGTTGTCATTAGCATACATCACTATCTTGTTAAACAAATTGTGTGTTGAAAAAATTATTAAAATCGTTGTTCAGTTTTATAATAGATTAACAAATAATTTAAACAGCTTATCTATAAAACTGTCTGCACTATTAATTTGTGATGAACACTAGAGTATTATGTAATTGACTTACAATATTAATTTCTTTAACTTGAAAAAACTAATCAAAATGTAGGAAATAATTTCAGAGTAGCTATCAAACAATTCAAAACATATTTATGGGAAATGATATTTGCCTAGATGGTGATTGGAGGTAGTCGACAGGAAACCCTGAACCCGGATTTCGTGCTACTTGGCACTCGTCAGCAAGGTGTACCTGTAATCTTTGAGGGAACCGGTGCTCCCTGGCGGATTCTATCCCATGTCACCCAGCTTTACAGTCAGAGACGTTACAATAGTGCCCGCGGTGTCGAGTCACCTAGACTGGTGGCCACATTGCAACATGATCGATAGCATTCGATCTGCACTAATAATAAGGACTAGACACGCATGACATTGGTCACCCAGTGATCAATCAATTGTGAGATTTGTATAGTTGTATTTAGTTCAGAATCATTTCTCACCTACTTGTTTCGCATTTGCATGCCTGTGAAAAAGTTGAATAAATCAATTAAAAAACTACTTACATGAGATATATACGTTTATTTCAATATATTTTGTTTATAATATGTTATCAAAAAGACTAATCTTTGTTCATATATTCGTCTTTGAATGTGTTATCGTTAAAGAAACCAATCGGGATCAACACGATCACACAGTTCATGAAAATCCTAATGTAACATTTTAATATTCATTTAAATTATGAGCGCATTTCATTCACACGTAAGTAGTATAATATTATAAATATATGATGTAAAACATTACGATTATCGAACAGAATAATGACAAATTATTATAAGTTATAAATGAACCATGAGCATTGCGTATTCTATCACTTCTCAATTATCTTATCTCATTGTTCATAAACATGTTACAATGACAGTAAATTCACTGAAACTTATCGATCCTTACGTGACATCAGTCGTTTAAATTCTATGATCGAGTTATTTTATTGATTTTGTAAAAATTGAAAATATTTTCATTCATACAATGTATTAAACTGTTGATCCAACGTTATGGGTCGTCCAATATGCAATAAGAAAAGATTTAAAAATGGAAATCATTCAGGTTCATATAAACTCAATGCTTCTAGACGACATTGTTCTTACACACCAATTCGTAGTTTATGCATTCCTAGTAAAAGTCTTCAGTCGATAGGTGGTGATGTAGACTTTTTCTGTGAACATACTGTAGAATTTATGGAATCTGGTAAAACATGTAACATAATCGCTGCAGAACTAGCTGAACAAAGCATTTACTTTGAACGTCTTTTAAAATATCATAGAGGACAGGGAAATATACGACTACCAGAGTTTCTAAATTTTGGCTTCTCTTCAATTATAGAATATATATATGAAGGTGATACGGAGATTAATCAAGACAATGTTTATCACATATTCGTAGCAGCGGATTTCCTTTTATTACCGAAGTTGAAACAACGATGCACAAATCTATTAAAAGAGATTACAACAATTGATTTTTCTACTGCAATCGACATGTGGTTAAATTATAAATCATCCTATTGGCCTGAACTAGGTTCAATGGCATATCAAAGGATTTTAGAAAATTTTGAAAAAATATGGCACACATCGCATTTCAGAAAATTAAGTGCAAACCACATTCGTCAAATTCTTCATGAAGATGCTTTAAATTGCAAACATGAAAAGAATATATTTCACGCAGTTATTCAATGGATTAGTGAAGATTTGGAAACACGTATAGAATATTCATTGGAGTTATTGTTATGTATCCGGCTTGGTATGCTATCATCCACCGAATTAGATGATATAAAGAAGCATGATTTAATTCAAATTATTCCAGAATATTTAGATTTGTTGAACCAATGGCCAAATTGCTTGACAACTACTAATAATCGTATCATTAATGCTTATGGGCAACGGTTTATTACGCCAAGACTACCGCATCAAGTGAGTATGCGCATATAATTTGTTAGATATCATTAAAACACTCGACATAGTAGTGCTTTTTCTAAATTCACCATATTATTTTTAAAAGGATGTAAAAGATCCTGACATGAATATTATTCCAATGTCATTTAAAAGAGACTATTACCTGTGCAAGTAATATGTGAAAGTTGCCGATGTTCCTAATGCGTATCACAAACTGATGTTAGTGAGACAACGTTAATAGCCATAATAAACCAGAAGGCCTTTTTGTCCCAGTATAGGGATTCTCATCAGATAACGTTATTAAACCCACTAGGGTTTAATCATCGGTGGGATGACGAATCAGCGCTGTTTTCTGGTTTAGTACTGGGTCGAAACATCTGTCACATCTTCCCAGGTTTTAGTGGTTGCCGAATAATTTACAATTCCTAATTTAAACTTATTCAATCTATCAACAGAATGTACATGATTGATGATCATTTGTAGACTTTCAAATACTATTTTAGTTGCCCGATATCTGACTGCAGTTATATCGTTTCTAGTTGTTACTGAAATAGGCATGTCGCCAACCCTCGCATATAATAATCAAATTGGAAGGAACCAATAAGTTGATCTGTACAGATGCTACAATAACTCGTGTGGGCTTGACACAATACCGGTCCCTACCCTATTAAATAATAACGATAATATGAAATAGGATTCAAAGGTAGGTAGACCTGGGAGAACTGCTCACTGTTTCGTCGCAGTGTGGTGACGTTAGAGAAGATGTAACTTTTAAGTGAGGTCTAGGAAACATGTGAGGGCTATATATATATAACACTAATTCACCCGTATATTCAACAGTAGAAGTGAACGAGTTTGTGTACTGAAGTTCTATTATTACGCTCCATCATAATCCGTCGTCATAATCACACACGCATGAAATTTTCCTGTTCTTACAAATTACAAACCACGTGGTTCGAGCGAATCGCATGAAGGCAACAAGAAACCGTACGCCGGTGAGATTGTTAAATGTGCCTGGGTTCGGACAACCTGTACTTATGTTTCACATAGTGAGTGGCGATATACCATAAGTGTATAGTCACAAACGTTGAGTGTTTTAAAAGCTAAGGATCTGACCAGTCCTGAGATTTGTGAGGCGGAGTCGTCTTTACTACAGCTTATGTGTTTACATAGGCAAATAAGATATACTGAAACTTTTTGATGCTTATTTATACTCCTACCTGTATTTCCATTATTAGATCGTTATGGTTTTTGGCGGATGGCGTGATGGTGAGGGTCTAGTGTCAGCAGTACAAGTATATAATCCAACAGCGAAATCTTGGACATTATGGACACATAATAGTCAGCAATTCCTCATGCCAACTAATCAACAGTGGAATTTATTGCAAATTCCACTCACTTTCACGATTACCAATTCACAAGCAAATCAATCACAGAACGCTGTGGATACTTTTATTCGAATCAACAACTTTCAGAGCTTGCTACCACCAGATGAGATTGTTTGTGAAGGGAATCGAAGTGAACTGCCGCTTGATAATAATCCAATCATGAATACAACTCGTGCTAATCTGATTGGTGAGTTTCCTAAACGTGTTTACGCCGGTTGTGTACTGATAGGAACACGAGTTTATGTCATTGGAGGGTTTGATGGAGATCGTGCTCTCAAGTCTACTTTGTGCTATGATTTCGAAATAGAATCTGGTTGGTGAGTGATGCACATTGTGTGACATGTTTTGTTTAATTTGTTTTGACAAACTCATAGCAATTTCCATTGTGAAAAATCCTTGTGATTTGTATACTGTACGACTGAACGTTTCATATCTTAACGCAGAACATGGAATTTCGCGAAATGCTCAAACGATAACATTAGCGTTTAAGCAGACAGTAGGTTTGATAGTGCGTTTAGTTTTGCGCTCATCAAGACACTTATATGACAAGTTAAAATTTTTCTAATTCATAGATGGTTTGATATATCACTAGTTTAAGGGCGTAAATTGTTGAGAAGAGGAAAGAGACTTGCGGCTCTGCTGAAGCAAATATGTAAACACAGACCTGCCGATTTAGGACCTCAAAATAATCAACAAGAAATTACCAGGCCTGAATAGTTTGACTGAGGAGAGTTAAGTAACGGCTGACAGTGGGATCCAAGAATTATGACTTATCCTATTTGGCACTCGTCAGCTTGATGTGCATGTACCCTTGATTTGCTGTTTACTCATGTATCCCGAACTAGTACCTATCGCTTCAAATGCATTGCTAACATACTTTGCTGTTATAGAATACAACCAATATGATTATACTAAATATCTTTAATTAATTGACACTTCATATCAACCTATGCACATGGATGAAACTATTGAAAATTTGTTGTGATGAGAGATATGCAATTTCGAAAACAAGGTCGATGAAACGCTGAATTATATAAGTTACTACAGACAAACTAGGAATACCGTTACATGTTTCAAGTTTCTGACAATACTCAAATGTGATATTATGTTATTGAATGTCGATAGCAATACTCGGTAGGTCCATTAATCGGCTGAAGCAATCAGCAGCATCCCGTACTGAATTTTCTCGACGACAACATCAGTAGTTGAACGATGAAACTTGATGCACACTAAGTGAACATTACTATAGGCCAGTAAGTTAGAATCCAACAGTCACTGTTCTCTTACAATGTGTAATAAGAAGCACATTGAAAGATTGATGATCAAATATGTACATACTTTCCTTGAAATCAGTAAGTTTACTAACCACTTATATCTACTCAACAATGTATAGCATATAAATTCAATTGTGTGAGAGTCTCGTTTAAAATGTTTAGGTATGAAGCAAGTTGCATGTATGAGAATCGTTATTACGTCAGTGTCACATATGCGAATGGATATATCTATGCAATTGGAGGTCATAATGGCGAGCATGGAGGTCGTTTAGACTCTGCAGAAAGATATATCGTGGATGAAAATTTATGGCAAACTATATCTTCAATGAATCGAATACGTAGTGATGGGTCAGCTGGAGAATTACATGGGAAAATATATGTGATTGGTGGATTTGATGGTCGGCATTATCATGATTCAGTGGAATATTATGAACCGATGACGGATCAATGGACCTTAATAAATCGAATGAATTCACCGAGAGGTGGTGTATCACTTATTCAACATAATGATTACTTATACGCTATTGGTGGAAACAATGGAAATGATCGGTTGAAATCCATTGAAAGATATGATCCGAAGAAAAAGAAATGGGAAATAATTGGAGAAATGACTCAAAGTAGAAGTAATTCATCCACTACCGTTATTGATAATGAAATATATATACTAGGTGGATGGTCTGGTGAACCAGCATCTGGTATTTTGGATCAAGTCGAATGTTTTAATGTGATTAGTTGTGAGTGTCGAATTGTACAATCTCTAATATATCCACTCAGTGCTTCATGTGCGTGTACACTGAAAGGCTATAATTTGGTAAAAAAATATATACAACCATTGTCAATTGCATCATCTCATTGTATAGGTGAGCAATAATGTTACTGTTCTCGTTTATTTACTATCAAACTTGATAAGTGATATTGCCATTTGAATAATCGGGTTAAACATTTAAATCCTGTTTCATCTACTTCAATGTGAGTTGTTGGGCGGCATCACTGGCCGTAACAGATATATTGTAGGTGAGAAGGAAGTATGTGAGATTATACGTGATGGATTACTGAAAAAATAGATAGACGTCGGTGACCATTTCATTAATCATGGAACCTGTATTTATCCTGATGGCTGGAAAATGTTGGCATGTATTGAGAACGCTCACTTAGTTAGCTTTTGTAAGCCAACGTTGCATTTAGTGTAAGCAAAATTTACGTCTTCAAAATGAAGAACTAGTATACTGCACAGCAGTGTGCTCTATTTTTATTTATGATCTTGATCTGTAATTTTTAGTATAGATAGATATAATAGGCTGCATAATTTAGTTTATTATTTGGGTATTGTGGGACAGTTGAGTTGGCAACCGTGAGGTTATGCGCAGAGTACCATGCAAAGATAGTAGACTGGTTAATAGAGTAGTGGATATTCGTTAAATGAGGTGATTGGAACATGGGCGATGAATGCCACACAAATTACTGCCTTGACGTTCGATGATGACCGAAGTGATGGGAAGCTGAGGAGAAGCTATAGGCTACAATACTAATATATGGTAGCCATTCATGAGTTCATTCAGTGTTAACTTGATATGTTTGAAGTAAATGCAGACACGCCAGATGCGGTCCTGGCGACAACCACGGTCAGTGATTTAAAGACTTTGAAATGAATGATTCGGAACCGGCCACTGCGTATTACGTGCACTCAATCCCCATTTTATGCCGAGAATCCAGCTTCACTAATACTTTGTTCTCTTCCTTCGAATCCATTTCTTTAGTTGGAACAACATTACTCAGTGTTTGCTATCATTTATGTGATTGACCTTCGTTTCGTCGATTTTTCATTACTGCGTTGATAAAGTAAGGTTATTTGAACTGATAAACCTATTGATTAAGACTAAGTGATAATTCTCAATCTCAAATGTAATTTTCTAGAGAAGTTATACATATCATAATAACTGAAACTAATATCTTCCTTATTGACCGAGTTACTTCAGTTTACATTATTTCTTTTCAGCGCGAATAAGTGAATTCTGTTAGTTGACTAAACCAACGAATACGGTTTTGATCGATCTCAGTAAGATGCTTTGATTGGTTGATAAAACTTTGTCTAATGACAGTATGTTTTATTCATTGACAAGTGCCAAACAAAACGAGATAATCCTTTTCCATTCTATTGCTAGTCACATTTGAAATGTGTGAACACTGGTTTCAGATGGTTGTTGATTAACCTACTCAGCTCAAAGTCAAATGAGTAAAAGTCATTGTAAATTGACTGTTCAATTGCGTGTCTGATGTGATCCCACATGGTTGCAGTGCTAAAACTCGATTCCAAATGAAGTGATATATTTTATGAATGATTACGTAGAACAATTTATGACACCGTTTCTAGGGTTTTACCGGATGACCCACAAGTTTAGAATAGATTATTGTAAGAACGAAATGTGAAATGTCTTGTTGAATGACAGTTCAATATTCTCTCGAGTGTTCTTTTTCCAGTGATTCTGTACTGTGCTGTTAACTTTATTATCTATATATGAATTCTTAATTGACCGATGAAGCTCAGTTCATATTTTCCCTTTTATGGCTACAATTCTGACACGGTAGTCAAGTTTATCTCTTGCGATGATGCACTTGAGTTGCGCGGATTGGAACGCTTATTTGTTTAGGTTCGTTAACGTTCAACGCTGGTAATTTGGACAGTGTTACGACCAGGAGAAGGTTAACTCTGAATATAGCAGGCACATGCCATCTTGCCACACAGATTTGCGTTGCCGTGGTAGTGCTTCAGAGAATAGAGCAAGCACACCAACGACTGCTTTAGCAGTGAAATGTGACTTGTGTGAAACAGATGTCTGTTGAGCTACTTCGTCTTGCTCTTTGATCTATCAGTCTATCCGTCATCACAAGTCACATCCTTATGACACTCAACAAGATGTGTGCTTTCAGGGTGATCTGAGCTAGATAATAGGAGCGGCACTCATATCCGTGACACCACTGATGATCATCTCATTCTTTGAATTTACATGTAAATATTCTATTATGTAACTTTTTTTGTTCATTAAAGATAATTTCAGTCTCGTATGTTAAGAAGAAGTAGAAGACGATGATGACGACGATGATGGCGACGATGATTATGGAACAATCGGAGATAATTCTGATGCATTATCATTACTATCAACAACTATTTATTATTCTATCACTCATCGTTATGGTGTTCATCATAACCATTGTAATAATAATAATAATGTTATTATTGTTATGCTTATTATTATTATTTATAGTGATATCAGGTAACACGAGTAAAAGTGTCAACTCAATGTAAAATGTTCGCAACCGGGTGTAAAGCTGTAACAACATAGATTGGTTAGTTAAAAGTTGACCTCAAATGACTACGTATATGTCAAAACAATAGAGCTCAAGTTTTCATTCACTTCCTCATTTTGTATAGAAATTGTATTTCCTATTACTTTTATGGAGTGCTATAAAGCTTTGTGTGTTTGAATAGGTAACCTCTCACTCCACTATGTACTCTCTCATGAGCTAAATAAAGAATTATTCATCACTGGTCTGGTTTCGTCTATCAGTAGAACGAGGGTTACTCGCAGACACCACTATGTTAGGTTTTGGGTGGCTGGTGACCTTTCGGAGTCGTGTGATTCCCAGTAGTGTGGTAAAACAACAGAAAAGTACGGGTTTGGACTGGAGTTCACGGTCTATAGTGATAATTGAGGGGCGGACGAAGTTTGCCACCTGTCTTTCGACGAAGGTGCGAGTCACTGCTTGAGCAGTAATATCTTTAATAGGTCTAACTTCTGACCATCTCATGAAACGGTTCACATTTGCTGAGAACCAAAATTACCCATTTGAATATGGTAATAATTACACCAAATTAAGGTAGAAATAGCCGAAACGAGCATCAGAAATTGAGGAAGACCTTAAGGGACATTTTTGTTCTCGGTCGCTCTAGATTTCCGGCAGTCTACATAGAAGCGTATGTTCAACGTGTTGAAGACTCTGCGTCGACAATGTTTCGGCACGAATGGATGATCCGTACCTGTAGATGTGCAACATAGTAAAGTTTCCTTACTTGTTTGCATCTGTTTGATTAGTCGATTCGCAATTGTTGAAGATCATTAGTTTTGAGGATCAGTTTCCTCTTTCGAAGCATGATGGGTTTAGGAAAGTCTACTCCCCGAGGACTGTGTTGTAATGTGTTGTAAATGTTAAGTAAAATTCGAAGTGTATTGTCATTGATAAGACTGTGGATAAGAGTACTCGTAAGAAGAAGAGCTTGGAGAAAAGATGAAAGGTGTATGGCCGTTAAATACTCTTAAATACTTGACTGTGGTCGATTAAAAGTGTAAGATCCTTTTGGAAAGTTTTGTATGTGATAATCCCTCCATATACACGCTATCGCGATTTATTCCACTTGATTCTCTCAGATGTAACTTTTGTTGAACTTTTGATTTCATTTTAAATGATACGACTGGTAATTTACTTTTATTTTTTCCTGATGTCAATGAATTTCCATGTTTATCCTGAACTACATCTCTGTTGTTTTAGCCGATATTTAGTTATGGTGGCTGCCATACTGATTAGTTCGCTTTCTTCATTGTGCTGCTTACGTTGACACAGACTGTGCGTTTTGATAGCAAATTGAAGCATTCTTTCAGCATTAAAAGCATTTCGTGTTATAGCGAATTTTTATCTCACTTTCCAGACAATCTGTACTTGACCTATCCAAAGATCAACTTGACAACTCTTTTACATCCTTTATCATATTATCTATTCAGTGTAATTTATATTTCACTAATGATCGAGCGATTAGTAAATGAATAGCTCGGTGGTAATATTTGTTTCGGTAATAACATACATTTAACTTCACATGGAGTATGAAATTGTCATTTACCCAATTACTTTGCTTTAGTTTCAGCTGGGTGATAGCATGTTTGTTAACTAACTGGATAGTTATCCATCACTATGAACGTGTTTAATTTGGAAGTTACGCTATGTTCACCAGAATCGCTCGGAGAGCGAATACTTTGAACGTCAACAATGTGTCCGAGAACGTCCAGTGAGCCGGTTTCGACACGAAATTTCTGGATGTTTACAGCTATGCTATATACTTGGAGTCGTTCGAAGACAAGACCCATATGTTCGAGATGAGATTCTCTGTCATCTACATATGCGTCTACGAAGTTCAGACCCCAAAAACGCAATCGGTGAATCTCTGGGACGTTTGTGCATCATTTCTTAAACCGAAAATCATGCGCCAAATCTCGTCTAGTCCGAGGAGAGTGACAATAGCCGTTTTGGAGATGTCGCCTGAAGCCGTGAGAATCCCATTTTTCTCCTCAAATGATTGATTTTGAGAAGACGGTTGTGTCTTTCAAGGTAACTTTCAGGTCATGGGTGTGCGGCAAAGGGTAACGGTTGAAAATGCTTTTCATATTAGGTCGTCAATAACCACCAGTTGGATGTAATTAGTAAGCTTTTTAAGGACTGTGTGCAAAGGAGATGCCATTGGTGTGCTTGATAGGTGGATATTTCACACTTCTATCGTACGCTTAAATTCGCTAACGCTCATTCTTGGTTATTGTGGAACTAATCGTTGCGTTTTTGAAAATAAAGGTGGTCCTATGGTAATGTAGAGTTTAAGATTTTCAGCTATACATGGTATTTTCAGTCGTGTTAAATAAAGTTTGAAGCACTTTTTGAGTATCTCTTTGAATTATGAATAGATAATATGTTTAATCGTGGCTAAGCTTAACCTTGATGTAGAAGATGAAGTTCCAGAAACACACCGTTTCCGTCCACTAACCTCCATTTACTCGAGTCAACGTTTAGCATTGAAAAATCTGAAACAGAGAAAATCCGCTGAATTGTCTGCTAGATTTCCATATTTACGATTTTGTGGAGTGAGAGGTGGCGAGCTGACCAGCGTGTACTGTTGTCAGATATAAGGCAGAAATGTTGAGGGTGTAAAATTGTGGTTTAGTTTGACAGTAGTACAGTAAACTTTGTCACAATAATAATAAGCCTAATCCACAAAGGGGGGTTTTCGTAATGTGATAACCTAATCTATAAGATTTTATGTCGAGCCACACCATTGTCTAACATCGCCTGTAGCCCCTCAGGGGCTACTGCCGGTTCCTAGTATACTATTGTATATAATGTGAGCAATGTTTATAAATGAATTTTACGTATAACTGTTTAATATTATTTACACTGTCAAGATGATTTTTATATTACCAGATCCATGTTTCCCTTCAGCTGATGAAATCAGAAAGAAATCCTTAATTCTGATTAGAATCAAGTGTGTAACTTCTGTGAATTACGTGTAAATAGTTGTAACACGGGGGGATAAGATAATCAGTAATTGAAAAAAGTGACATAAGTAGGAAATATAAACTAAGGTGATAAATTTATTACTTATATCGACTCTTTCTTTTAATACAAATGTCAAGACAGTTCTACTGTATGAAGCGGAAACCTAGAGAACTACTAAAGCCATCATTCAGGAGATATAAGTGTTTATTAACAGTTGTCTACGCAAAATACTTCGAATCCGTTTGCCAGATACTATCAGCAAAAACTTACTTTGTGAGAGAACAAGCCAGATTCCAGCGGAGGAAGAAATCAGGAAGCGCTGGAAATGGATAAGACACCCATTGAGGAAATCACCCAACTGTGTCACGAGACAAGCCTTCACATGGAACCCTCAAGGCCAAAGGAAAAGAGGAAGACTGAAGTACACATTACACCGAGAAATGGAGACAGACATGAGAAGAATGATCGACAATTGGATATAACTAGGAATGAAGGCCTGGGACAGAGTGGGTTGGAGGATGCTGGTCGGTGACCAATGCTCCTTTAGGGGTAACAGACGTAAGTAAGTAAGCGACATCCTTGTCTATACTGACCCATCCTGCCACCAAATCAGCAGCAGGATGCTTAGCGCTTCTAAACAACACATTTCGGGTGGATATTGAACGATAGATTTAACACGATTAGGGAAGGTGTAGGACGCCCTCAAGACTGAGCTACGCCACACTGATCAATTTTTCCTGTGTTCACCATTGCTGATCTTCTCCGCGTGTTAGATGTTGAACTAAAATTTTCTGAATTATCTCATGTCCAGCTTCAATGATCATGTTGTTAGAAACAATGCCACTTGAGGGGTTTGTGGTTTTTAAAGTGTGTGAAGCGTGCACCACTGAAGAATACTGAAACGATCGCATAGAACAATACATAGGGAGGAGCCCCTGTCAATGTGAGATACTTTGGAACAATCTGAATCAAAATTTGAACGGTTGGCAGTTGATTTGTAGTCCTTCAAGTTGAATGCACTCTAACTCGTAAGATTTACCCTGGAATTTGAATGATGGTATGAAAATAGCAGAGATAATCGAAGATATACATTTATATATCCTAAGTCTGAAGACCAAATATCTACAATAATACCTATATGTTTGCAGAAGCTTCTACATCTACATTCATTTTTCTGTGCTTTAATATGTCATTCGAATTATTGGCTATAAATCCGCTTAATTCAGGAGGTTTTGCTAAGATAAGAAACTTTAAACTGTTAAACGATAATTGTGTCAATAATATTTGACACGGAACAAGGGCATACAAATATTTTCATTTTTAGGAACAAAACAGTTTTTATGTACTTGGTTTTACAGACACCAGGTCACTTCGTCAGGTGACATTAAAATAATTTATCATTACAGTATCCAAAATAATAACATGTGACGCTACTCACGTGAGCCTGATTTTCTTATTGCAGAGCAACAACGACAAAATGTACTGGAAGAAGAGGATCAAGCTCTACGTAAGCTGAATCTGCAGAACGATGGATAAAACAATTTTGTAATACGTGTTCTCTTTTTTACCGGAGATTTGTTGTATGATCGCTCCTGCTTCCAAGTATTTTGATTTTTAGGAATAAAACAGGTTTTACCTACTTGGTCTTTGAGACACAAGGTCACTTCGTCAGGTAAATTTGAAATAGTCCGCGTGATGGATTTGACGATTTTGTCTGCTCCAGATGAATACCTGCCTTGTGATCCTGAGTGTTTGCTAATATTTGTGAGTCTTCTGAAGTCATGTAGTAATAACTGCAGTGCTACATTAGGTTTAAAGGGGCACGTATGAACATAAAGATGAAGGTACCTGATCAGTTTACTGTTGAGAACTTCCCAGTTCTCAGTCATGATAATAAGGAGTATCACAGAATTCCAATTATCCTAACGTATTTGAGGAAAGAAGTGGGTTTCTCGTCTATTTACTCTGAATGTTCTCACTTTTCATATGTAGTCTAGAATTATAGTTATCGAATAAGTCGTATTAGCTGAGTAACCTGCTACTGTTCATTTGTTTGTTCACTCCGAAATTTTAAGTCAAACTAAAAACAGATGTATGCAAGGATTTTTATTGGTCACTGTGGTTTGAAGTGTTATCTAGTTCATCAACTATGGTTTGAAGCTATTTTGGTAGTGTAGAATTACCATATTGTCTGAATTGTCAGTCGTCTTCAACCTAGTACCAGGAAAATTTATGAATCTATTTAAGTTGCTATACCTCAATAGAACGAAGTGCACACCAATTTTATAAAAGCAGTTACTCAAATGATAGTAATATATAAAAACAAAAGACTGTATTTTTGAATAATATACATGGAGCAAAGACTAGTTGACCCAACATATTTGTAAGAACATACCATTGGATTCCATACGTCTTATCAATGACTAGCTAATGAAAATTACATTCCGAGCTTACCATGCAGTAGCCTTGAAATTGACCACCTAAATCGTATGTCGAAGTGTTTTGCATTACTCTTTTGTTTATTACTATCATGGGTTTATTCATATGAATAACTTTTCCCATACAGTCAACCATAGATTTGTCCATTACACTAATTCACCAGCATGGAATCGGAGTATAACCTGCTTCACTATATTGCGTACTTTGAATTCAGTTAATATCAGTTTTAAATGTCTGTAATGTCTCCTCATTAACAATCTTATATTGTCAATAAGTTCACGGTTGAAAAAACTCAGACAATGTGCAATAGGATACGCCTAATGCTTTTAACGACTTGGTCAACTTTTTATCTTAAATTGTTCACCTGTTTATCAAAGGGTGAAATATTGTGTAGTAATCAGTCTAGTATTACTGGCGATGAGCAATAATTAAAGGGATGAAATGCCGATATAAAATGAAATTTTGTTAAAAATTTCTTGAAACTCTAGCCATTCACTTCCCTGATATACCAGGTAAGATGGTTTGAGTCTGAGCTATATATATATATATATATATATATATATATATATATATATTGTCTTTTGGTAGCTCTAATCAAGAATGCCAGAATGTTTAGCGTGCGCTTTTCTCCCTCTAAATGCAAGTTGTTGCTTCAGCACTAGTTTACGTCAACACCTGAACTAAGGATAGGGAGTGAAGTAGTCGAACGCGTTGACAACTTCACTTATCTTGGAAATCTGATCAGCCCTAATGTGTTGGTGTCTGACGAATTCTCATCATGTATTCAGAAAGCTCGTTTGGCTTATGCCATCTTACGTCACTTATGGCAAAGGTGAGATATCCGTCTATCAATGAAAGGACCAGTATATTGCGCGGCAGTTTGTTCCGTTTTACTTTACGGCTGCGAAACATCGTCATTAAGAGTAGATTTTTCGTAAGCTACTAGTATTTGACCACAGATGCCTTAAAAATATTGCTTGCATCTGATGGGATCACCAGGTAAGTGGTAATGAAGTTAGACGTAGGGTATTAGGAAATGATGGTAAATCACTTAATGAGGTTGTGAATCTTCATCGACTGAGATGGTTGGTCCACGTGTTGAGTATGCCTGAACACCGATTACCACGACGCGCAATACTGACCAGTGTTGAGGACAGTTGGAAAAAAGTTATGAGCGGCCAAACCAAAATGTGGCATCAGTGCTTAAAGTCACTAACTTCTGGTCTGAGCCATGTTGGTAGATACCGACACTTGGTTGCGGTTCGCTTGACTATCGCAACCAATGGTTGGTGATTCTGGGTGACAGCTCAGAATCGATTACAATGGCGTAGGTGTACATACTCCCTATCTTCCCTTAAACTATGAGATTAAAATTGCTTCGTATCTTTCTTTCTACGAACTAATTCTTTTTTTCTGTACTGTATCCTTATATGCAATTTTTCTGTTATATATTACTACCATTAACTTGACCACTCCTATGAGTTCAGTGTTCATCTTGCTGTGCTAATGCGGTATGGCAACTTGGACCGATGCATATATGTGCCTGGTCTTACGTTGTAGCTGACTAATGTATAAGGCTAGTCAATACTATTACCGAAAGTTAATACTTAATTCTAAACAAGTATTGTTAAATGTAAACAGATTTTTTAGTGTTACTTATTATGATCATTTTTTACTATCGAATAAATAATTTATAAAACGAGATGAAACCTGTAAATTTACTACCGACAGTTGATAAATTCTACTCAAAATGTTTCAATATTAAAATGTTCATAGTTATCATCACTGTGGGGTTGTGGATCGATAAATGTCAGACTACCATTAAAAACCTGGAAGCATTTTACGGCCGTTTCGTCGTAGTATGGGACCTCTCAACGGTGCTCATCCCCAAGCTGCACGCGGGATTCAAACCCAGGGCCTTCAGTTTCATGCGCGAATGCCTAACCTCTAGACCACTGGACCGGTCGGCATCCGACAGTGTTGATGTTCAATTTCAACCAATCCACGATATTGCGTGACCATTTTCCATTGTTGAGGTAAATACCTGACACGGACTAGCTCCACTGATCACGACTTCTCACCAGAACTCTGAGAATCACCTCACGAAGGCAGTCACAACTGTGTGGGGTCGTGGAGGTTGTTATTGTTTGAAACTAACAACGGCACAATATGATAATTCTTACATTTCATTTAATCAATAAAAATGAACGGAAATTTTTGTGTCAATTTGTTTCGTTAACAGAATTATGGCTTAGAATATGAGTTATCTGACATTGAGGGTGTTCAGTTGTGTGCTTTAATTTCAACTATAGAACGTCGTTTAGCTCCTGCTATTAATTGGTTCCTATGGGGTGACGATTTTGTTTATACTAAATTCACTAGAAAAATGTATTTTGGATCAATTGGATTTATTAAACAATTATATATTCCTTATATCTGGCGTAACAAAAAGTTAAATAAGGCAAAGTCTTCTCAGTTAGTTATTTGTCTTAAGAATATGTCCGATTCAGAAATAGGCGAGTATGTAAGTCCTTTTTCTTTTGACGTTGGTTTAACTTTTCAATTTTCATATTTTGAGTTATTGGGAAATTAGATTCATTATTGTATCATAAGTTGTTTATGTAAATATTGTCATTTACTTAGTCAGAGTCTTTTAAACAACAATGTGATCTTCACTTTTCTAGTAAATTTCAATCGTAGATTATATTAGCTGATGTCATCACTCATCTGTGACATTTTGTTAGTAACATTATATGGAAGTGGCGTATTCTAGTTCATTGGTCACATCATCTTACAATTGTTTTTCCAAGTTGATTATATCGTGTCCAGTCGAATATTACGGAACCATTTCTAACACATTTGTAAGTCATACATACTCGGCTATATAATGTGAGAGTGAAATTAGGCTAGTGATAAAACGGATACTAGATCTATGTAGATAGATAAAATATCAAAGTCAATAACAACGGTGTACATTACACCAGAAAGGTTTACAGTTAGTTGGTTTAACTGTTTCGATTTACTATTACTGTGTCGTAGGTTCAAATGTAATCCTGTATATTTTTTTATGATTTTTTCACATTTTTCGCGTCATGAATTTAGATTGTAGGCTAATTATATAGAATTTTACTTATCAATTGATTCTCAAGTCAAGATACCTTCTTGTCTTCTAATTGTAGTTATATTCACTGGCCAAACTCTGCATTACATCACTTGCTTACATTTTGGGTGAAAATACATATTTTATCGGCGATCGGTAAGTTGATAATTTGAAAAATTTGTCCTAGTCATTAAGTTCCATTTGTAAATCTGCTGTTGGAGTGAATCGAAAACTAGAGGCGACCAAATTTGACATCCGTCCATGAAGTCATTGACTGTTGAACTTAGCCATTTAGGATGTTGCAGGTCATTTGGTTGGGGTTCGTGTGATTATTATCATAATCAATATTTAGAGACCTCGAATGACATGGCTCAAAATAATTTGCAATGGCGTAGTCACATCCATTCTTTCTCTTCCCTCAAATTATGAACTCTTGAATTCCTCATAACTTTTTGTGTTCTTAGTTCATTTATTTATGTTTCCTTGAATCCTATGTTCGATACCCAATCTTTTCATCTACCACTGATAGTGCTACTACCTCCACTATTCTGAGATTTCGCTTATCAATTTCAACTCTCTATTTTAATGGAATGTTCAAAAATGAAGAATATTTGAGGGAACAATTGTTTTCAATAACTTCGTCACCAGGCTCTACAGTTATAAGTCCATAAAGGCCGAAAATAAGGCATGTATTAATGAATTTGACAATGTTATGTGCTAAATAATTGGTGCACTTTTGCATCTGTTACGATATATATACTTCAAAATAGTATTATTTGCAAATTAGAAAGGTCATTCAGTAAAGGTCAGGATGATTTGGAGTAAAGTGCCCAGTCACAATAAGTAGAATAGTATTATAGCAAAAATGAAAATGTAAAAATATTTTGTGTGAATAAAATGCATAACAGGAGAATTTATTCTTGTTAATTGAGATAATAATAATAAGATTGTTGTGTGAATATAATACGTAATAAGGGGGGTGTTATCAAGGTAATTACGATAAACGAATTGGGAATGACGGATGTGAAGATGAAGATAGAGGTAATAAGGAAAAAAAATTAAAAAATAAAAACAAAGGAACGGGGTAAGAGGTTTATAATATTCATTCTAGGTATTCGGTGATGCAGTCGTGAGCCAAGGTAAACATGGAGGCTAGATATACTTTTTTTGGATACATAAATTTAGTTTTCTGGAGTTGATTCAGATGGCTTCGGCTATGTAAAGCAGTCATAATCTAGCTCCTTGAGATAGATATTTTGGAACTTGATATTAACAGAGAAAGCTTCCTCTGTTTTTATATGATGGTCACTATCTACCAAGTGAGAAAGAATGGTGCTGTCAATCGATTTGGTAACTCCTTTTCCAAACCATGCTGGTACATGTTCACGAACACGCAAGGATAAAGCCCTTTGAGTACGGCCTATGTAACTAGCTCCACAGGAGCAGTTGAATCGGTATACACACATGGAGGAGCCCATCTTCGATAACCTATCATTGATTAGTTGTGTGAGCACTGGTTTAGTTGAGAAAATTATATGTAACTTGGCGGCGTGAAACGTCTTTTCGACAGATCTTTTGAGTCGACGTGTTAAAATATCACCCGCTATGTCCCCTTTAAAGTCTAGTCTTACATATAAGGTCTGACTGTGTCACAGTCTCTTCCTTTTTTTAGTACTTTCTGCGGGGTACTTTTTAACGAAATTATCAGGATAGCCATTATTTCGTATTTCGTTCTTTAGTATATCTATTTCGCCATCCACACTGTCTTCAGAACATAATAACTTGATTCTGTGGTTGGGACATTTAACCAAATTTATTTTATATTGAAGAGGTGTGAAGCTTTGGAAATGGGTATACTGACCCGTCCATATAGTCTTTCTAAATATATTTCGCTTTATGGAACCATCTATCCTTCTATAAAGTAGGACATCCAGAAAAGCTATACTATTGTCTTTCTCCTCCTCTCTGGTGAATTTAATCGCTGGGTGGACGTTATTGAAAGAGTCCAACATCTCCTGTTTGTCGATATTTTCATCATATATTATTAATGTGTCATCTATGTATTGACAGCAATAATCAAGCTTACTTAGGATGTCTTTAAGCGGTCCATTTTCTAGTTTGGCCAGAAAAATATTAGCAAGGATCGGGCCTAAAGGTGATCCCATCTACTTGTCTAAAAAATTCATTGTTAAACATAAAGTAGATATTCGTAGTGCATTTCAACAGAAGTTGTTTTATTTTACTTACTGGGATCGGTATCTCTATTTTCTTTTCTAGCAATTGTTCACATATGAAATCGATAGTTTTAGAGATACCGATCCCAGTAAGTAAAATAAAACAACTTCTGTTGAAATGCACTACGAATATCTACTTTATGTTTAACAATGAATTTTTTAGACAAGTAGATGGGATCACCTTTAGGCCCGTTCCTTGCTAATATTTTTCTGGCCAAACTAGAAAATGGACCGCTTAAAGACATCCTAAGTAAGCTTGATTATTGCTGTCAATACATAGATGACACATTAATAATATATGATGAAAATATCGACAAACAGGAGATGTTGGACTCTTTCAATAACGTCCACCCAGCGATTAAATTCACCAGAGAGGAGGAGAAAGACAATAGTATAGCTTTTCTGGATGTCCTACTTTATAGAAGGATAGATGGTTCCATAAAGCGAAATATATTTAGAAAGACTATATGGACGGGTCAGTATACCCATTTCCAAAGCTTCACACCTCTTCAATATAAAATAAATTTGGTTAAATGTCCCAACCACAGAATCAAGTTATTATGTTCTGAAGACAGTGTGGATGGCGAAATAGATATACTAAAGAACGAAATACGAAATAATGGCTATCCTGATAATTTCGTTAAAAAGTACCCCGCAGAAAGTACTAAAAAAAGGAAGAGACTGTGACACAGTCAGACCTTATATGTAAGACTAGACTTTAAAGGGGACATAGCGGGTGATATTTTAACACGTCGACTCAAAAGATCTGTCGAAAAGACGTTTCACGCCGCCAAGTTACATATAATTTTCTCAACTAAACCAGTGCTCACACAACTAATCAATGATAGGTTATCGAAGATGGGCTCCTCCATGTGTGTATACCGATTCAACTGCTCCTGTGGAGCTAGTTACATAGGCCGTACTCAAAGGGCTTTATCCTTGCGTGTTCGTGAACATGTACCAGCATGGTTTGGAAAAGGAGTTACCAAATCGATTGACAGCACCATTCTTTCTCACTTGGTAGATAGTGACCATCATATAAAAACAGAGGAAGCTTTCTCTGTTAATATCAAGTTCCAAAATATCTATCTCAAGGAGCTAGATTATGACTGCTTTACATAGCCGAAGCCATCTGAATCAACTCCAGAAAACTAAATTTATGTATCCAAAAAAAGTATATCTAGCCTCCATGTTTACCTTGGCCCACGACTGCATCATCGAATACCTAGAATGAATATTATAAACCTCTTACCCCCTTCCTTTGTTTTTATTTTTTAACTTTTTTCCCTTATTACCTCTATCTTCATCTTCACATCCGTCATTCCCAATTAGTTTATCGTAATTACCTTGATAACACCCCCCCTTATGTATTATATTCACACAACAATCTTATTATTATTATCTCAATTAACAAGAATAAATTCTCCTGTTATACATTTTATTCACACAAAATATTTTTGCATTTTCATTTTTGCTATAGTACTATTCTACTTATTGTGACTGGGCACTTTACTCCAAATCATCCTGACCTTTACTGAATGACCTTTCTAATTTGCAAATAATTCAACTTAACTTACTGAGAGATGATTTCGTTTTTTCGAGGGTAATACAACATGAATAATTCAATAACAAGCAGTTTTGTGACTTGTGTAATTAACGATGATACTAGGAACCCGTCAAATTAGCAGCTAATTGAATGAACACGAGATGTGGTATATAGATTTGTTCATTTTGAAATCAATCTTAGGTCACCGTCGGAAATTGTTGTTTAAGCTTGACCTTGAGAATTCTAGCACATGGTTTGCGTGTCATATCGACTGTTGATTTCAAAATGAACAGCTCCAAATATCTCATATCGTGCTGCCACATTGACGGTTCCGTGAGATCGTCGTTATATACACTTACAGGTCAAACATTTGCTCGTTATTGGATTACTCAACTCGTAATAATAACATAACGAATAAAAGCAAATGTCTCAGTTTCACACCTATATTTTGATGCCTGTGAACGTTAACCATTACAACTCACCTCATTTTATGCATCATTGCTTCACAAACTGTAGCGATCAGTAAACGATATGACTACACTTTCGACGTTCTTCAAACAACTGTTCCCGGCACAAACACACCACATCATTTTCGAACGCAGATTACTAGCGATTTCGTTGATTGTTAAACGGCTCAGTTTTCTGTTACCAAATCTCGGATTTACTATATTGATATACAATCAAGATTTATCTGTCACAATTCAAAGCCGATGTCAAGTTCATCATGAGAAACTGTGGTTTAATAGTAAATGGCTTACATAAAACGGAAATCAACACTTTGATATCAATCTTGAAGTTATAGCTAAATTGTAAATGGATAACATCAAATTAAAGATATGCAAAGAAGAATCCAACTTGACACTCGAACATCTCCTTTAACTAGTTGAATTTTCTTTTATCTATCTGACAATAATAACTTTCAATATGATTTTTAAAATCAAAAATATGATTAGATAACAGGTTGTTTTAGGGGTTGTACAGTATCTAACTATGAACAATTCGACTAATCTTGGGGTGTATGTAAATATTGATCAAACGAACTCGAATAATAATTTGTGGACTCTTCAACTCTAAGCTTGGTTTACTTTTATAAATGTTGTTAGCATTCAATATAATTGTTTAGTTATGTTTAACTCATTGTAAACTGGGTATATTTTCTCTGAATGTCTATTTGTGTAGACATAAATAAACAGTCCTCTGTTTTAATATTTACGTTAGACGTTGTTCAATTGTCCCGTTTATTCATATTAACGCTGATATTTGTTTTCTTTTCTCTCTCTCTTTCTTATACGCTGATACCTTTCCGTGTATATGTGCCTGTATTTATCCACATCATTAAAGACCAACTGCAGTCGACGCTTATGTGTTTGCATTTATGTGGCCTTTATTAATGTATGAATCACAGCATGGTGATTCTAATTGGTGGGATATCGACTACAGCTCATCATCATCGTTATCATCCACTTGTTTACAATCAGGTTCACATCATTTAATCACACATCTATTACAATGTCCTAATCTAATTAGATTTTTTAAGAATATCTCGTCGAAATACTTTCAGAAATATACAAAATGTTTTAGAAAAGGTATGATCTATATCCCCCTTTGATTAATTTCAATTAAACAATGAGATGGATGAAGGTTATTAGTGTTTATGTGATACATTTTGTACAATACATATCAAATAATCTTATGAAAAGCGAACTAGACAAGTTAAAAGGTAATTGGGAATAAAGATGATGATAGTAACGAAAGAACACTAACTGAAAATCACGGTGGATAATGAACCGGTAATAATAGGGTATGTTCTTGAAGAGTATACGAGCGATCAGATCGCTGGAAATGTATTTCCCAAATGTATTGCATAATTCTTATATAACCTTCATCTTCTCATTGCATTGGAAAAGTTTGCATCCCATTGTTTTTGCTTGTTAATTTCCCAATGTCAGTTATGATTTTATACCATTTTATATGATGAAATGCCTTGAAAGGTAACTGAATCTATGTGTTATGACTATGTAATACATCAGTCTAGAACAGATTGAAATAACAGATTGAACAGATTATTTGTTCACATGAAATTAGTGCACGTATAATGAAAGCCAAAGCAGCTTATCACAATCTGGGCCATCTTTGGCGCCTTCGTGATGTCAGTTTGGCTGTAAAAGGTCGGATCTACAACCCGTCGGTGAGAACAGTTCTGTTCTATGCTGGTGAAACCTGGCCTCCCCGAGTTGAGGATGTTAGACGACTCTCTGTGTTTAACCATCGTTGTCTCCGAAGGATTGCTGACATCCACTGGCAACACCATGTTCGTAATGCAGAGGATCGGCATCGTGTGTTCGGGCATAGAGACGATAATCCAGTTGGTGTCACCATCTTGAAACACCGACTTCGGTGACTTAGACATGTTCTACGAATTCCACGTTGTTCATTATTTACGAACGCTGGGACTGGTTGGAAAAAGCGGAGAGGCGGTCAGTGTATGACATAGTGTCGTGGTATGAAAGAAAGCTGCAAAGGACTGAATTGTGTTGGTTCTTCATTACTCCCTGGCTGGGGTTCGAGAGATCGTGCGACACAGTGGCTAGAGACGTTATCAGATATGTACATATCCTGAAATCTTTCTATCAATAAACTATATAGGCGAACAAAGATAGTTTATGACAAGACATACAGTTTGGATATGAATGCCATCATGAAAAGCTTTCAGTTAAGAAGAATTCTTCCATGTTTTGGAGAATGTGAATGAAAACTGTAGCAGAATAGTCTTAGGTTTCTTTTCTAATCTATATCTAAGAATATATCTAGGCATGAAGTTGTACCATCTTTAGGGACTCATTACGGTAATTGTGACGGACTGATAAATGATTTTTAACTCGTTCACCAGGTACAGATTCGTCTATTTCACTTTGAATCATATTCTGATCGTCAGAGTTAATGAAACTACCACGATTGGCTAAATCAGAATAGGTAGAACGGATTTCGAACCTGAGACTTAGTGGCTGAGAACCAAAAACCTTTTATCGCTCAATTGTTAATATCTAATTAAAGAATGTATGTCTACTCATTAGATTAAAATGTCCGTATCTAACATGCTTTGAATTAATGTACTCGTGTTTTACTTATCATTTTATCATCATACAGAAAAATCTTCAGTTATCGACAAGTCAGATGTATCTCATCCAATTCGTGATTGTATTCTCTGGGGTACTGGAGTAGTTGGTTTATTTCTAACTTATGCTTATTATTCAAATAATGTTCGGATTTTACAAAGATTCCACGGGTCTTGATCTATCTACGGTCGCTACTGTTATTTACTGTTTTATAGTCCTTGAATTGTGTGTATTATTTCGCATTTCTCTCTCCAAATATCCTTCCTATTCTCGTAAATCTTCTTGAACCCATTGTCAATTCACACAATTTATTACCCATCCTTTTTGCAAATCTCGATTCTGTATAATTTTACAACTTTCTGATTGCATATGTGAATATTACTATTTCTAGTTCCCTTTTTGTTCCTATGTCATCTCGACTGTTTTTCTTGTTATTGTGTTATTATAAAGACGTTTGTCTATACATTGTTATCTGAAATGATGGTGATGTATTCTCTGAACTATTTCAGTTGAATTACTGAGAAGTAAGCTCTAAAGATGTCCAGATTAAAAATTAATGAAAGCTTTAGCTCAGTGAACACATTACATTGTTATCTTTGGCTGATTGTACTGCATTTCTTGAAAGCTTCCTTTCTATCATTATCTTATGCATGTTCTCATCACAAAACATTTATTGTTAGTTCCTTTTTTAGTGACAGGCATAATGATTAGCAGTAGAAGAAACGTATCAGAGATGAAAAGAATGTACGGTAGTTTTTGCATTACTTTAGTGCATTTTTGTAAATATAGATCTTTATAGTTTTTACAACTATTGTTTACTCTTAATCTCCTGGGTTGATATTGTGGTATAGCATTGTGGGCCGATGCACATGTTTGTTAACTGCTTGAACGTTGATTATAACTGACTGCTTAATTGGTGTTTTTTGTCAAGTAAATTGGCTGAAAGCTTGTTAAGGCATCAGGTATTTCCAGTAGTTGTAGTTCAATCATGAAGATGAGTTAAAAACAGTGAGAAAGGCCGAAATCATATTTATTATCAAAAGACTTAATTTAAATTTTATCGAGAAAGTAATTTATGCAACTTGACTATACGATGGATAAATATTTGAAGGGATCTGTCCATGGTTCGGAGCAGCCCCCAAATGCCCTGGTACGGCCGAGAGTGAGGAGAGTCCGCTTTTCCTCTCTAAATGTTCTCATTTGGCCACGCGTATATAGCCTCTGCCAGGGAAGTCCTACTCACTGCCTCGTTGTGGGGGTGTTGTTTACGAAATTGAGGGGATGAGATGCGAATATCCGGCGCTTTAACCTGGTTGGTTGACACGGAGGGTTCACCTAATTTGCATTGACTGATGTAAACAGTGGGTCAGCAGGCCTTTCAATGATCACGTATGCTGCTCATCAATCTACTCTGTATTAATCTATCATTATGAAAAATAACGTAATGAAGATTAGTGACCAATCCTAAGGTTAAAATTCAAGTTCAGTTCTTTACCAACTAATTTTAGTGCCCTAATATCTCAACGTAGTGCACATGGCGTCGAGTCACTTAGAGCAGTGACCACATTTAAAGTTAATCGATGAGATTCATCGGCACAAAAGGATTAAATAAACGTGAGATCGATCATCACTCAGTCTGATCGGGAGTCAGTGGTCATAACTCTGACTGTAAGTCTGAGTAGTGCGGGCTTGAATCTCACATGAACCAGTTTCTCGAAATCACCAGGTACCCTTTTCTGACTAGTGCCTAGTTCCATAGTTCTGTGCGTTCCATCCAACAGACATTGAACAATAGAATCCACGTTGTGGAAACAAGTCAAACGTCAATTACATTGAGAAACTAGAAATTTATGTAAATTTTTATACATACGTAAATAACGAGCAAGCATAATTCAGTATTGTCGTACAAAATGATGAAGAGAGAATGGCATTAATATCAGGGTTATTTTCTGTGTACATATGTAATATGTATCTAACGAAAAAGGAATTATAAGTAAGGAAAACAGACAAAATGTCACCTTGGTAATGCTTAAAAGCCGACTATTGAATACAGTTTGCCGTAGAAGATATATGTGCGATATTGATTTTATGCACTAAAAAATGTACAAGGTGTGATGATGAGTTTCAAGGAAGGAAATTGGAAAAAGACAAATGTGTATTCCCAAAATTGAAAATTCATCTGAATTAAAATAAATTCGACGGACGGAAGTATAGAGAAGCAATGAAGTGCATATGTATATACGCATATAAGGCAAAAGATTTGTGGCTCAGTTGAATCCATTGATAATTGTCAATAGATGACATGGTTTTATGTTTGAACACATAAATGAAATTCATCTAGATTTGAATGTACCATTGTCTGGGTCTTTGTCAGAATGCAGTTTAAGAGAAATAGAACTAATGATAGAACAGTGGAGTAATCCTGATGAGAAATGCATTCAAACAGTATAAGGAAACAAAAAAGCAGATAGATATCTTATATTATTACTATTCTGTGGGATCAGCTGAATACTTTTCGAGTTATTCGCAATAGAAAATGTTGACTTTTTACAATTTACACCACTAAATGATTTTAGACAATGATTGGCGAACAGGAAGCAATGAGAAGACAATCGTTTAGTCTTAGTAAACGATATCTTCGAAATACACTAACACAGATTGAATCCAGGGTTTTCGAGTTTTACTGTGAAGATTTAGAATTCTATTTATTTTCAGCGTTTATAGGTGATGTATAACGTGAAAGTAACTATAATAAACTTCTGAAGAGATAAAGAAGCTACTGGATTCCTTGTTTCATGATAGTAACACACACACTGAATAAACACCATTATATCGGAATGCACATTGCTGAACCAAAACCATTAACGAGATTTAGCTACTGAATGTTCACATTCCTTGGAAGATAACTTCAATGGAATACAAAAAGATCACTGAAAACTTTAAGCTAAACAGTGTCACGTATTGCAAGCAAAAAAACTTGATAAACTGTACAACACATTTGTAGAGAAACAAACTACCCATATTTATCAATGTCATCAAAAACTCATTAATTGAATATTCACAGTGAAAAGTCGGAAAATGTTTCCATTGAATAGAAGCTCGTTTGAAGAAAACCGTGATACATTGAAGTTGTGAATAAAGAAATGAAGGAGTGATTGTCATTGTAAATCATTTACAGATTGAATGTTTCCATTAAATATCTTAGATGTATACAAGAATTCTCGTTGTCTTCTCTTCTTTTCTCTTAACCATAAATTAATTATTCAGAATCATCAGAACAACTAGGCAAATTCCAATCATCCATTTCACCGATTAAACGTATCGGTGCTTTTATATTGGATAGAGATGATGGTGTTGGTGGTAATGCCATACTACTACGTCGATTTTGACGTAAACGTTCACTATTGACAAGATTTCCGTAACCCATGAAGTGCTGTTGTTGTTGCATCTATTGTTATAATAAAAAATATAAAAAAGAATAGGAGTTAAAGTGTCCATTTATTAATGAAAACGTAAAACTTAAAAAAGTACGGAAAGTTCATTCATCACGTAGATGAAAAGATCCGAAATTATAGCTTATACTCTTCAAAATGACTAAGAGTTATAAGGCTATTCCAATTAACTATATCAGTTGTCGATGAAAATAAAGTATCCACTTTTCGAGATGTTGCCTACTTGCGACTGAAATGGTTTAATTCTGAGAATTTCATTGTCTTCCTTGGTAATATCACCGAGACAGAATGTTGTTGATTATGATGCTTAAGACGCTTTATAATTACAACGGTTGACAAAGTTCCTTGTGATATAATACAGGATTTCTGCGAGCTAAGCAGACAAGACGATGTGAAGACCATAAAACTTCAACATAAATAACCGAAACACAAAACAATAAATGAATGCAAGACTTTCACTTAATTTCTTCTAAGTGAATTATATTTGAAGTTAAAACATCCTCCTGGTAAACTCAACCATAGATATCAACCATAGATTTGGTTAAACACGTGAAATAAGAAACTAAGTATACAAAATTGTGGTTAGGTTTCGTATTATGTGGCACGAGTCAGCAAAGTGTACATGCAGCCTTGATGTAGCAGATGCCTCCTGACACATTTCATTCCGTGTCACCCAGCACCAGTCAAACACCTAACCACTGAGCTATCCAGGCAGTGAACAACGTCCTTCCAGACTAACATGTGTATACGTTGATTGATCAATAGTTGATTAGTGACCTATCTTAAGTGGGTCAGGTCATCCCCAGGGAAGATCAAATTTCATGTATGACATCGATCAGTACGCAGTGATCCATCAAGCGATTTACGTTTTGTCAAAATTATGTAATTCATCATAATTTCATAATCGGACTAATAATTGTCATTCAGTGATTTCAAAAAATATAATTTACAAATTGTGTGAAACCATACGCCATTCAGACTTAGTACTGATGAAAAGTGTTCGGAAATTAAGAAGCACTGAAATGTGAAGTAATTTTTCAAATGAGTCAATTTATAAAAATTCATTTTAAAAAAATACACCATTCAAATCATGAACCGATGACCATTGTTAAACAACCATTGAAAACCTGTAAGTATTGGACGGATATTTGCTCTTAGTATGATACTAGTCAGCAGAGCATATTCACGATCCTGCGTTCGAGACTTGGACTCATGACATTCGGTCTCGCGCGCGAACGCTTAAACTCTAGACCACACAGCCTGGACCCAACAATAATCAATACAACTTGTATTTTGGTTTGCCCATTTACCAAATTACTTCAAGGTTTGGAAACTGTGGGCTGAATTCCACAGGTGTACAAATGCGATAACTATTAAACAGTCAGTTTTTCATGAGTTCATCCTAATAGAAAAGTTCACGATGCTAATTGTATAAAAAACCAAATTAAAAAGCTCAGTGCTCGAAAAGCTATCATGATTGAGTCAGTATTATGTGAGGACATTAAAATCGTTCAGAGAAACCATTGTACGGAAAAACCTGCTAGTCCATTGTAATAATCGGCATGAAAAACAGAATGAGCGTTCCTGTGCATCAGATAATTGTGGTGAACCGAAATATTCTGTGATCTTTTGAATATTAAGTTAGTCTTATACATTTTTTGTAGTGTCTTTTTATAAACACATATGTCTTACACTTCAACATCTTGTTCTTCCAACTGTCTTCGTTTTCTCTCACACCACTCAAATTTCTTTGCGAGTCAAAGTCATGTAAGTACCAAATTGGGCGGTTAATCCATTTGTCCATCATAATAAAATGATCGACATATATTCATTCAACTTTTTTAAAGATGAAAGATCGTTTCAACATATACAGTGTTAACGGTCTGACAGATAATGTCGTTCTTAGGAGAACACGGCCGTAAGTATATGCTAAATTAAAAAGAGTATCACTAGTCTGAGATATTAAGTAGTTCAAACTGTGTATACTTATTAGTAGTATAAAACATAAAGTGTAATTAAGTCAACATGGATTTGGCACCATAGAATGATAATAATAATAATAATAGTAATAATAATAATAATAATAATAATAATAATAATAATAATAATAATAATAATAATAATAATAATAATAATGGAAGCATAAAAATGTAATGTCTTGGCGGTTAAATTCATTCATTAAAAAGGAACGGATGTATTTGTGTACTGTTATGTAACACATTCATCTAGAATATGAATGAGAATATTTTTGCTTACTACTTTCTGTCTAGCGAATCAACATAAGGAATCAGTAGCTAAGTAGATAATGCGATGGCGTTCGAAAATATTCCTCTACTAGCCACTATCCATGTTTGCATATATTTTGGGATATTCAAAAAAATTATCCTGTAAGACAGGGAAGCAGGGCCAATCAGAACTCTAGGCTGTTCTTACGTGCTTCACAAGTCTTTGGTCAGATTGATAATTCTCTGCCCTCAGCTAGATATTATCAGCTAGATATGTGCCCGTAGTCAAGGCCTTCGACAATATTTCATTCTCTCGGTCAGATCGACAAACCTATGTTTATCAATGATCTATGAAACTACTCATTCGGTTTCGTCAGTTAAATATTTCTAATCATTTTTCAATCTTTTCACTGTTATAACAGGTTGGACAAGGGCACGGACAGAGTATGTATCTGAATCGACAGTTATGGATTGTAAATTTCTTGAACTATCTCGAAATTAGTTATCCATAACTTCCAGATTTTTCCAATATTTTCTGCAGACTAATATCAGTTCCTGATAGCTACAACCTTAAATACTACTATACACATAATCGACAAACATACACTCAGACAAATAAATAAATATAGATAAATAAGCAACAGATCGTATTTAGAAACATTGGATGGAAAAAACGTGTTAAAACACAAATTCCTGGTTATTATTCACAGAATTCTAGTCAAGATAATAATGACAATTTCATATCAATAAGTTAACATTACACAGGTACAAAGAGTTATTCACATGAATGACAAACATTCTATAGAGGAAACACTGAAGAACACAATTTAAGCATAAACAAACATAATACATGCTGAATAACAAGATCATTTCTAAAATCAGTTAGGACATTTAACATTATAAAGACTGTCATCGTTATTCTTCTTGTTATCATTGTCATTATTATTAATACTACACAGAATGTAGAAGAGAAAATTTTGTCATTATTGAATAGACATTATTAACGATTTGATTGTGGATGAATTCTTTCCAAAAGTTCTCGTCTACGACAAGACATCCATTGTCTATTGCTTTGTGACTTTTAATTCCAACCCTGCTATGTTTGAAGCGACCACAATTTTACCTAGTCTGAGAACGGAACAAAGACTCGGTGACTAAAGACCAATAAACTAGCTGTTCTGAAGCGTTCCAGCCTAGCTAACTAAAGAGACAAGTTCAAGTTCGAAACAAGAAAATATGGTCCTCAATCAGTTAGAAGCACGTACAATCACAAGAAGCACATATCAAATGCACAAAATTGTCCTTGGTTAGCTTTACAAAATAGCATACTAAAAGATACAACAAAGCAGTAGAGTTTAAGATCCTGCCAATTGGGAAATATGACATACAGGTAGAAATGAGCGCTTCAAGAGCGAAAACAAGATTTAAAAATATTTAAAGTAAATTCTCAAAATTCAGGTATTTACCTGAAGATCGAAAATTCCCTAAAAAACGCCAGCTTAATCTCAACTGAAATGGAAAAGTTGTCAATTAAGTGAGAGAACAGAAAAGCACGCTAAATCTCTGAACCACTGAGTCATCATCCAAAGATGTTATTGTTTGACTTCAATCAATCCTGGACATTTCGTGACCATCTTCCATTGTCTTCACTGGATAACTGCATCTCAAACAATTACGGCTTCTCAAAAGACCTTCAGAAGTTTCCAGTAAAATTTCTGGAAATCCACACATGATTTAAATAAAATTCAATAATCTCTACATTCCCTCAACGATAAATGAGATTTAAAATGGCAAGTGTCCTTTACTTTACACTCAGTTTTCAAAGCTGAGAAGAAATTAGATACTAATGTTCTTAACTTAATTTTACATTTATGAAGTGTTTCCTATATAAGAATTATTACCGAAATACATATGTCGGTGTTCAGTTTTCTAATCGGATCTTTATTTGGTCACTACAACACCATGGAGAAAACTTCAGCCATAGAAGAACTCAAAAGGTATTCGTAACATTTGCGTTTTTTCACTTGAACGTTAATCATGGCTCAGGAAATGAAATCTGCTTAGGTGAACATACAAACATTTGGAAAAACAATAAAAATCTAAATGAATTAGTGTTTTGTGGAGATCACTTTCATTTGTAATTTATATTTGATATGGTTTGATTCAAACTACTAATAACAAGCTCAGTGATGATTTAATTCTAAATAAGTCCTAGTCAGAAGATGTGACTAATGCTGTTGGATGATAATCGTGCCAATTTGTAAATTGATTGGTGTTTGAGACATGTATCAATAGACCCAAAACCCAGTGATTCTAAAGGATGTACATTCGTCATGAGACCTGCTTATCTTGGATTAGATCCCTGGGCTTAGGGTTGTGAGTATGCACTCCTGAGGAGTCTTATGATAGTACGAAACAGGCCTCAGTTATTGCATGACTTTTATTGCTAAACCAAATAAGATTATTATGAGATGAAAATTGTTGATAAAAGTAATTATGTTACGAAATTTTGTAATACAATATTTGGCCAACCAAACTGCAAACAAACATATATGAGTCCATATTGACGAGATAATCTTGACAGTATGTTAAGATATTGACAGAGAATAATGACCTTTAGTACTGAATATCAACAACTGGAGTTTACAAAATCTTACTGATAACTTCGTTCCTGTTGAATAATTTAGTAGCTCAATCGATAATAGTTTGATTATTATATAGAAAGTACTGGATTTGATTCCAAAGTACATAGCTGAATGAAATACAGGTGAACACAGC